TAGTTCAGTCAGATTACACCTGTTCACTTAGTTCAGTCAGATTAAACAGCTGGTTTAGCGTACTTAATCTTAGTTTTATATAATCTGTCCTACAAACCACCCGCTCGCATAGAAAACTCTGAATATTTTTTTTATTTTTATTTTTTTGACTCACAAACACACATTGAAACACAATTTAATTAATTTTAGGATTCATTAGTGTCTTTAAGACAATCCAGCAATAATCCATTGTAACAGCGGAATTATTTCAGTATTTATTTAAAGGTGGGCTAAGCTAAAGTTCAGAGAGTTTTCTTTATAAGCAGCTCTGTTCTGAAGCTGAAGCTGTGTCTCAGGTCAGAGGGGGGAGTTTAACCTCCATGAGATGCTCAGGTTCAGCAGCTGAACTCGCATGTAGATTAGTCTCCCTCCCCTCCCTCCTGAGGGTCTCTGGCCTAATGTTTGGGTCACACCTGGATGGAGAACACTGGTTTTCTCTGCAGGTGTGATGTTGCTTCCACCTCTCCTGCTGCGTCCATCGCTATTCTGCCCTTTGACCTCGCCGCTGCTGACAGGATGTGTGAGGACGCTTCACCGTGCCTCTCCTCGGGCTGAGCTGTTCCTGCGGCGGCCTCCCTCGCGCCTCCTCAGTGGGAGTGGCGGCAGGAAGTGGGGGGGTCAGGAGGACGAGTGGAGGGCGAGGAACAGGACGGTGCTGATGTACATCGCTGCTACCGGCGTGGGAATGATCGGCCTTTCGTATGCTGCCGTGCCGCTGTACCGCCTCTACTGCCAGGTGAGTCTGACGGAAACACACCTGCCTGCAGGGGCTGCTCTGACCGCTCTGCTCGTCTGACAGGCGACGGGGCTGGGCGGCACGGCGGTGTCCGGTCACGACGCAGATCAGGTGGAGACGATGAAGCCGGTGAAAGAACGCATCATCAAGGTGACCTTCAACGCCGACACGCACGCCGGCATCCTCTGGAACTTTAGACCGCAACAGACGGAGATCTACGTAAGACTTCCTGTTCCATTAACCTTACTTCCTGTCACAGGATCATTCTGAACAACTTCCTGTTCTCAGGTGGTTCCAGGTGAGACGGCGCTGGCCTTCTACAGAGCAAAGAACCCCACAGACAAGCCCATCATCGGCATCTCCACCTACAACGTTGTGCCCTTCGACGCGGGCCAGTACTTCAACAAGATCCAGGTGGGTTCATATGGTTCAGAGGATCCAGGTGGTTCAGAAAAGTCCAGGTGGTTCTGTAGGGTCCAGGTGGTTCAGTAGGGTCCAGGTGGTTCAGTAGGGTCCAGGTGGTTCAGTAGGGTCCAGGTGGTTCAGTAGGGTCCAGGTGGTTCAGTAGGGTTCAGAAAGGTCCAGGTGGTTCAGTGAGATCCAGGTGGTTCAGTAGGGTCCAGGTGGTTCAGTAGGGTCCAGGTGGTTCAATAAGATCCAGGTGGTTCAGTTAGGTTCAGCTGGTTCAGTAGTGTCCAGGTGGTTCAGTAGGGTCCAGGTGGTTCATTAGGGTCCAGGTGGTTTAGTAGAATCCATCTGGTTCAGTAGGTTCCAGGTGGTTCAGTAGTGTCCAGTTGGTTCAGTAGGGTCCAGTATGGTCCAGGTGGTTCAGAAAGGTCCAGGTGGTTCTGTAGGGTCCAGGTGGTTCTGTAGGGGCCAGGTGGTTCAGTAGGGTTCAGGTGGTTCTGTAGGGTCCAGGTGGTTCAGTAGGGTTCAGGTGGTTCTGTAGGGTCCAGGTGGTTCAGTAGGGTCCAGGTGGTTCAGAAAGGTCCAGGTGGTTCAGAAAGGTCCAGGTGGTTCAGTAGGGTCCAGGTGGTTCAGTAAGATCCAGGTGGTTTGATAAGATCCAGGTGGTTCAGTAAGGTTCAGCTGGTTTAGTAGGTTCCAGGTGGCTCAGTAGGATCCAGGTGGTTCAGTAGGGTCCAGGTGGTTCAGTAGGGTCCAGGTGGTTCAGTAGGGTCCAGGTGGTTTAGTTGAATCCATCTGGTTCAGTAGGGTCCAGGTGGTTCAGTAGGGTCCAGGTGGCTCAGTAGGGTCCAGGTGGCTCAGTAGGATCCAGGCGGTTCAGTAGGATCCAGGTGGTTCAGTAGGGTCCAGGCGGTTCAGTAGGATCCAGGTGGTTCAGTAGGGTCCAGGTGGTTCAGTAGGGTTCAGGTGGTTCAGTAGGGTCCAGCTGGTTCAGTAAGGTCCAGGTGGTTCAGTGAGATCCAGGTGGTTCAGTGAGAGGTGAACAGAAAGTACAGTTTTTTACCTTGACTCCAGCCATCCACCTGTAGAACCTGGTCCAGAACCTCAGAACCTTTGTCTCTGCAGTGCTTCTGCTTCGAGGAGCAGCGTCTGAACCCCCATGAGGAGGTGGACATGCCCATCTTCTTCTACATAGACCCAGAGTTTGCCGACGACCCCCGGATGGCTCGGGTCGACACCATCACTCTGTCCTACACCTTCTTCCAGGCCAAGGAGGGTCAGAACCTTCGTCTGCCCGGGTACAACTGACCCAGGCCGGGCCCAGAGACAGAAGGACCTGATGCTCCCAGACTGTCCTCAGAAGTCTCTGCTCCGGGTGTCCTGACGGACGTGTATGAGGTGTCTTCAGCTCCGGCTCTGAAGTGGACCCTCAGGGCTCCAGAACCTTCGTATTCAACAGGAAGTTTGTGTTGGTCCAGATGAGACTTTGGGTTTTAGGCGTCCGTCGTGCTGCCTTATGTCTTCAAACGGTAAAACTGGACCCAGTTCTGGTGTCACTGAAAGACCTGAGGCTTCTGTCTGTCGGAGGTTTGATACCTGAGAGGACAAGTTAGAGCCGCTGATGGATGTTTTTATTTACCTGAATCCAAAAATACAAATAAATTCAATCAAGTCCTCACAGGAGTCTGAGGGTGCTGTAGAAAACCTTTGGATATTAAAGTCATCATGTTTGGTCCAATAGTTTGAACAAAAAGAATATATATATATATATATATAGATATATAACCCTGTGTTAACACAAAGTTAACTCTGTGTTAACCCTGTGTTAACTCTGTGTTAACCCTGTGTTAACTGTGTTAACCCTGTGTTAACTGTTAACTGTGTTAACCCTGTGTTAACTCTGTGTTAACCCTGTGTTAACTGTGTTAAC